CCCCAAAACCCCAAAACCCCATAGACCTTTAGGCAAACAATAAATAGGAAAGTTATATCAAATAATAAATTTAAGTAATAATTTATTAAAACAATTGTCAATCGATATTCTCATCTAGAATGAATACTTCGATTGATTCAATGGCAAATTAACTTGCTCCTGCAAGATAAATTTCACCTCCCTTCAAATCATATTCCATTCCTTTAGGTAACTGATAATATGTCCCAAGGTAAGATTTGCAGCTACCTCGCTCACTAAAATTATAACCAATACAAATATCAGAATGAGACATTTTATAATAAGGCTCGCTTTTTATCTTTACTCCGAAAGTATTTTACTTCAAAAGCTTATGCTGAGTGTTATGAGTTATACTAAAAATAAAAGATTGATTATCGCACAGAGTATCATTATGCAACTTTTGCTTTTATATTAATAGTCTAGAAACAAGTCCAAAAATTCTGCCATAGTTAGACTTCAATATAAATATTGATTATTGAGTTGAGTATTAATCAATAACTTTACTTAGTAATGTACTTATCATCCCATATTGTTTCCCGTCAAAAATTTTACTTGATGAAATCTTCAGATTAGAAGGGTTAGAATGGTTTGCCTTGATCATATCAAGTAGATTTTGCTTGTCTTGTTAATTTATGACTATTTGTGAATCCTCGAGAAATTTCTTGAACCCTGATTTTAATGGAGCTGAATGACTTCTAGACAATTAATGAGAAGTTTCATTTTGGGATAAACTACCAAAATTATAGCAAGACATTGAGAGATTACTATCGCTGCTATAGTTTATGCCATTCACATTAAATAATTCTTATTTCTATTCTTCTAAATATGCACTTTTTGCCATATTCTTCTAGCCTAACCTATTATTAATAGGATTTGGAGTGCCAGAGTCATTCAAGTTCTAAATATCATTAAAACCCATTTCAAGTTAATCATCTGCTGCATCTTTATTTGGAATGAATTTAATAAGCCTTTCACAGGCCTAAGAATCACTTATCACTGGTATTAAAATTTCTTTAATCAAAATAATTGACTACTTAACTATGTTGTTTTCTACCTAACTTTTATCATTTATAAGCCTTAGAGTTTATTCTACTTTATTGAGTTGTGATTTGAAATATAGAATTTGGGAGATTGCTGTTTGAGTGAAATCTTGCATATCTTTATAGCTAAATTCTCTCACTCTATTTTGATGCTAAATATGAATTAGCTAACAATCTTCGCATATAAAATCTAGGCATAGATCACAGTATCTACCACACCTATTATTTTCATGAATCGAGCATTAAATATCGGAGATGTGATAATCTTTATTCAACCCGAATTCTTAGACATTTTTTTCCATTTTAATTTTTTAGAATTAAGAGATAAAGTTAAAATGACTTTGATTAAATTAAATTAAATTTTTATCTTAAAATAAACATCATCTCATTAGATTAAGGTCCTTTAACAGAATGATAAGGACAGGAATAATTGTGATAGAGATATCAACTGAGACAACAAGCCACATTCCTAAAAGATAGCCAAACGCTTTTTGAGTTTCCCCAATGATGAGTTACCCAATAGCTGAGCCAAGTGCTCCACTTCCATCGATAATACCAATAACAGTAGTCTTACTTTTTGCGTGTGTTTGTAATTAGGATTATTTTCCAATGTCAGCAGCACATGATCCTGAGACGATGTTATTCAATCCGCTTACAAAGAATCCGAAGAAGAACATGGAAAAGGTGAAGACTTGAATATTCATATCTGAGTTTTTGAAACTTATCACATAACTTATCCCAGTAGCAAACAAAATAGCAATAAAAGCCACTGGGGATCTTGTTTTGTAAGCTTTATCTGAGATATAGCCGAGAACGATGCTACCTATCATAGCACCTAAATCAAAGAAAGTTGAAACATTAGCTGATTATTATTTAGTGTACATAAGTTCTCCTTAGAGGTATAAATGCAACCAAAGTAGCATGCTATAGACAGCAAACTTAAGTCCAAAGAAAGTTGAGGCATATAGGAAAACTCTTGGAACCTTCCAAGCTTAGAAGAAATTTATTTGATTTTCAGATTTCTCTGCTTCAGCTTCTTCCAAAATACTATTCACATCATTGATAGCTTTATACTCTTAGTTTTAATTATTTGCGAGCAATGGCTAGTTATTTGATTAGTTATCATCTAATGGTTAATTGTTGTATTCAGGTTCTTAGTCGTTCAAGTATAATCCAACATTTTAAGGTTCGATTACAAAGAAAAAGTAAATTAATATAGCAAATAGAAATACTATCACAGAAATAGTTAGAAATAGATATGGCCACTATCCATCATAAGCATCCAGGAGAATTGAAGCTAGTTAGATACCAATAATATTGCCAATATTATTGCAAGTAGTCCACATTCCCACAATCAGCCCTCTGTGCTTTTTGGTGAACCAGTTTCCGAGCACTGAGATAAAATTAGGAAAAAGCATAGAGTTGAATAGCCCAATGAATATAAAGAGTAAGTAGTAAAAGAATTAATTTGTAACATGAGCGAATCCTCCGATTGCTTGACATAAGAAACACAACGATAAACCTAGATAGGCTACAGTTAAGAGTTTTCTCTGATTGTAGCGATCACCAATCATTCCACTAGCATACATGCAAATAGCATAGGATAAGAGCTAGGCGAAATCAAATTTACTAAGCACATCTTTTGGAAGGTCTTTCCCCATATTAGGATCGTTCTAAATAGTAACTTTGCTCATAGACCAGAATTCTCTATGGAAATGTATAGAGCAGTAAGAAAAATAAGAGAGACAAAAAACAAGGATCTAGTATTTGAATACCTTTGGATTATGATTATCATTTTATCTCTAATTATGAGCTTTTGTAGAATGATCGGTATCATAGGCATTGAAATTTATCAAATCCTCAGTTTGGCTGTCTTTAAGCTGCTTAGACATTTATATTTATAACTAAGACTTCAAACAAAGTATTTACTATTTTTAAGAAATTTATTCAAATTTATAGTAAGGGGTTTTGGGGTTTTGGGG